AAATGTCTGCATCAGCCATGTTCTGGAAAAAGACAGACAAAATGCTTCAATGTGCGTTCTGAGTTCCTAAGTTCTCTATGTGGAGGTGGACTTTCACTGTGGGTCCTTTGGAACCGTGGTGGGTCACTGAGTTGATCGACTGCTAAATCTTTCAGAGCTGATCATCTGCAGCACTGCTGTTTCTGTGTAAATTGTTCTCCTGGTTCTGCTCCTTTCACTCTGCCTCAGTTCATAGATGTCTTCCCAGGTTTTTCTACAACTATCCCCTTCATCATTTCTTAAAGCCCAACAGTATTACATCACACTCATATATCCCTTGTTCATCCATTTCCCAACTGATGGGCATTTCCTCGGTTTCCAATTCTTTATCATCACAAAAAGAGTTGTTAAGAAATATTTTTGTAAATATGGGTCCTTTCTTTTTTTCTTTGATCTTTTTGGCCACAGATCTATGAGCTCTCCCCTATCTTTGAGAAAAAAATTACTAAGCTGTGCATACCCTTTGACCTAACAATACCACTACTGGAGCTCTACTCAAAAGAGATCAAAGAAAGAGGAAGAGATCCTATATGTACAAAAATATTTATAGCAGCTCTTTTAGTGGCAGCAAAGAAATAGAATCTAAGGGAATGGGGAATGGTTGAACAAATTATGGTATATGAATGTGACAGAATACTATTGTGTCATAAAAACAAGGAGAGTGGATGGTTTCAGGAAAAACTTGGGAGATATGCAGGTTGAAGTAAGATGTACCAGGAGAATAATTTATACTTTAAACAGCAACATAAAAACAAAGAACTCTGAAAGACTTAAGAACGCTGGTCAATTCAACCATGATTCCAGAAAACTGATAATGAAAGGCTTTACAAATATTATCTCATTATCTCAATATCGAATATTACCTCCCAACAAGCCTATTGCTATCATCCTTACTTTACAGTTGAGGAAAAAGAGGCATACACAGGTTAAGCGACTTGCCCAGGGTCACACAGCTAGTGAGGGTCTTGAGGCATTCCTCAGGTGACTCAGGTGCTCCTGACTTGAGGCCCAGCACTTTAACCATTACATCACCAAGCTGAAATAGACTAAATGTGCAGAATGAAAAACACATTTTGACATGACCAATAGGAAATCTGCTTTGCTTGACTACTCATGCTACTTGGGGAAAGGGAAGGGAAAGAAAAGAAATACTTGTTACTCGAAAAAATTTTTTAAAAAATCTTCACTAGATTGTACCCGTTCCTCAAACTATCATTCTCTATTTCTCCTTCCTTTCTTAATGGTCTACAATTGCTGCTCCTGCTCACCTCTCACTCACTCTTCATCCCGTTACCATGTGGCTTCATCCCTCAACCTTCAACTGAAATCAGTCTTTCAAGTCACCACTCATCTCTGAACTACCCAGTCTTAGGCTTTTCTCAGTCCTGATCTTTCTTGACCAATGTGCTGCATGTGACCCTCCAAACCACCCCCTCCTTGAGGATCCTCCCCCCTCTGGGTTTTGTGACAATACCGACTCTCTCGGTTCATCTCTCACGTATCTGACCACTCCTCAGTCTCTTTTGCTTGCTCATTATCCACCCTGCACCCGTAACTCTGGGTGCTCTCCCAGGCTGTCCTGGGCTCTTTCCTCTTTACCCTCTCTCCTCTCGCTCTTGGTAAACCCAGTTCCCATGAATTTAATAAACATCTCTATGCAGATGAGTATATCTATATATCTGTGACAGATATATAGACCCCCAATCTCTCCCCTGAGCTTTAGTCCCCCCCATCACCAAGTACTTATCCTATATCTCAAATCGAATATCCTGGAAACATCTCAACCTCAACACGTCCATAACTGAACTCATTATCTTGTTCTCAAAGCCCTCCCCTCTTCCAAACACCCCTATCTCTGTTGAAGGCATCGACCACCTTCTAGCGCCTCAGGTCTGTCATCTTAGCATTATCCTGGTCTCCTGACTTTTCCTCACTCCCTCACAACCAATTAGTTGTTACATCTCCTTTAACCTTCACAGCTCATAAGCCTACCATTTCTCACCCCTCCCATAGCTACCAACTTGGTTCAGGCTCTCTCCATCCATTAGCTAGATGACTGATTTCCTTGCTTCAGGTCTCCTTCTTGCCCTACCCACCAACTCCAGTGTATTCTGCACACTGCTGCCAAAGTGATTTTCATTAACCAGATCACTGTTTTGTTACTCAACCAACCCCAGTGGCTTCCGACTGTCTCTGGAATAAAACATAAGCTCCTCTCCTCAGCTTTGAAAGCCCTATACAACACGGCGCCAATCCATCTTTTCAGACTCAGTAGATACTACTCCAACTCCCACACTCTGTCATCTGGCCCAGATGGTCTTCTCTATGTTCCTCATAAACACCTAATCTCTTGACTCAGTGCCTTCACACTGGTCATCCCCCAAGTTTGAAATGTAGGCCTTCCTTATCTCTCCTTCCTTTTCACCTTTTTTAAAAAAAAAAGCATCATCAAGCAGCATCTTCTGCATAAAGCTTTTCATGACTCCCCCAACTACTAGTGCCTTCCCTCACTTTATATCTTAGTACATATTTGTCATTAACTTTATGCTTATGCTGCATATATTTTTATATGTACTTGTCTCTTCCAGAAGAATGTAAGCTCACTGTTAATAGGGATGGTTCCATTCTTTCTGTTTTTATCCCTAAAAAAGTGGATAGTGCTGGGCCTAGAATCAGGAAGACGAGTTCAAATCCAACCTCAGATGCTTACTAGCTGTGTGATCCTGGGGAAGTCATTTAACATGTTTGCCTCAGTTTCTTCATCTGTAAAACAGGGATAGTAACAAGCAGATAGCTTGCAGGGTTATGAGGATCAAAAGAGGTAATATTTGTAAAGCGTCTGTCACATAGTAGGTGCTATATAAAAGTTTATTCCCTTCCTCTCTCTCTCTCCATGGTCTAGCAGAGCCTGGCCAATAGCAGACAGTACTGGATTGACGTGAGACATTGTGCTATGTATAATTAACAGGAAGAGCAGTCTGGCTATACTACAGTGTACGTGAAGGGTGTGATGTCTAACGAGGCTGGAAAGCCAAGCTGGAGTCAGGTTGTACAGGGCTTTAATGTCGGAGAGGAGCTTTTGTTCCATTCTAGACCCTAAAGGCAACAGGAAGGTGCTGGAGGTGACCCGGCAAAGGAGCAGCATGGCCAGACCAGTATGACTGTCAGAATGCATCGCTGTGGCAGCTGTGTAGAGGATGAGAGGTAGGAAGAGACAGCCTTGAGCCAAGAAAGAAGCTGCTGTTGCAAGTGAGAAGTGATGAGGCTGAACTATGATGATGGCTATACGAGGGGGCAGTAAGTGCGGATGGAGAGAGCTGCCCAGGCTCCCCCTCTCACTGGGAGGACTGTCTCCTAGCAAGAGCAGGCAACTGCAATTACAGGCATTTTCTTGAATCATTAGCAATTCTTTCTAGTTTGAGGGTAGAGTGCCTACTCTTAGCCTTTTTGTACAAACTGTTCATAAAATCACCAAATTCACACTACTGAGAACAGCTATTACCCTTGGGGCTTAAGAGGAAAGAGTATAAAGCCTTATGTTTTTCAGTTGACCTGGCGGTGACCCGTGCTCAGATTCTGCATGAAATAGTGACCAAAACATCTGGTGGGGGGAGGGGAAAAAGACCCCAAATGAACATTCCCTCCTTTAAGACACATTCAACTTTCACCTTATGATGTGAAATATGAGGGTGACCTCATCCATTTCTGAGATAGACTGATATGAAATTTTTTGCTTAAAATCTGTTTCCTTCATCATATGTACAAAATTGTTTTAAACTAAAAATTTCTGATGGAAAAAGAATTTATTAAAGCTTGGCATTATACTGTCATAACATTGATAGAATATCTTAAGGTCTCAGTATTCTTCAATAACAACCTATGATGTTAAGTTGTATAAAAATTATTCCTCCCATTTTACAGATGAAGAAACTAAGGCTCTGAGGTGGTGACTTGCCACTGGCCACACGGCCCATGAGTATCTGAGAACCAACGTCTTCAGACTCCCAGGTCACATTCTGCTGCGTCTCCCTAGCAGCACCAGGAGCCCATGGCTCGAAGCTGCAGCTAGAGAACTCTTTCTACAGAACGTGATGCTAAGAGAACCACCCCACCTCACAGATCGGGGGAAGTCCAAAGTCCAAGCCCCAAAGAAGAAGAAGGATCAGTGCAGCTGAGGTAGCGGGCTGGGGTGGGAGTGCCATGCACAAGGAATAATGTGAAGCAATCCCTTTGCTGGTATTGAGCCACATGGATTATACAGCACCCAAGGGAAAACGGGATTCAAAAAGGGAAAAACTGTTTGTCCCTTACAGAAAGGGGAAGTTTTATTAATTGTTGAGTTCAGATATGAGCCTGTTCTGTGTTTTCTGTTGAGTTAAATAAAAACTACCCTAGAGTCAATATCCTTTTATCCTGAGTGGTTGCAGAGGAGGTGAGGGCCCTTTTATGGAGTGCAGAGTAAGTGTCATTCTGATGTTCCCAGGAAAAACTTTAGGTGGAGAATGCCCAAGACTATATGTGGGTCTATTCTGTCAGCAGCTGGGACTCAACTGCCACATGGGTTAAATACAGTCGTATAAAGTATGTCAGCACCTGATTTTAATACTGATGCTAAGAGATGTACCTTACATCTCCGGCTACAAAGGAGACAAGACTGGACCTAAGTTATAACCAAATCAGTGCTTTAAAATAAAAAGGAATCAAACCAGTGTTTACCCATATTATAGTATGCCTGTAGCAGTGTTCCCTAAACAGAGAAGTCACTCAATAAATAATTCGTGTCTGTGGAGATGTATTAAAATGATCAGTAATTACTTGTTGAGGCAAAATAAGAAAAATCTTATTATTCATTTGATAGGCTGACAAATTTGAATTAGCATTCCAAAACATACGCAATTCATTTTTCAAAATTATGCATCAAAGTGACATCATTCAAAGGCGGAAAAATAGAACTACATGCATATAAAAACTTTTTCATATTTATTCAAACAAGGAAAACAGCTGATATTAAAAGATATCTACCAGTAGCTTTTTAATGGTTAACATTTTTTCATAATTAATTTCCTGTCTTGGTGACCATGTCCCAACTCTGAGTGACTTCCAGAAGCTCTTTAGAGATCATATACCATCTTTTGATTAAATAAGAGTATTCATACTATTGCTACAAAACAAAGAATTAACATCTTGGGTTTCCATAGCTGGAAATCATTTCACTGGATATCATCATCATCAAAAAGATCTTCGAAATCTAGGCAAAAAATGAACCGTTAATATAATTCATTCATAGGTAAAAGGACATTTCTACTTGTTTGATGAACATTAACTTTCAAGTTGAAGTAATAAAGCCTGTAATATATATTTCTGGTATAAATGCCATCTGTATAAATGAAAATAATGGGCATGGCATAATTATGATCAGTGGGATATTTCTATGCATTTACCATACTTATTAAATTGAAAGAACAGTTAAATATCAGTTCCCAGGCCACATAAAATCCCATAGAAAAACTGTACCTATGCTCTTCTCCTAACAAGCTCTGGTGCCAGGTTGCCCTGTGATTTACTTTCTTAGCAAGTCCACATTTCAAAACTCTCCTCTATTTTATTTTTAGTGGAGCCTTAAGAAGTCAATCGATTGCTACATGCAAACACCTACTCTGCTCTGGCTCAATTTTAGTTTCTACAGAGTTAAGATTTTAAGTATCGTTTTTAATTTAATCACTGACTCAACCATTCAGTGGGCTCTGCAATTCTTCTTTAAGAAAGCACGAAAAGTACAGGTCAAATTCTACTTTACCAGACAGCTGATTATACCAGGCTCTTTCAAAGCCTTGGCCTATGGCTTGCAATAGAACTCATTCCTCCAGTAGGACAGTGAAACACCTTCATCGTGCTGGTGTTAGCAACCGGATTAACACCAACCATGGAGTTACACAGAGGTATAATTTGGGCCGGAGGATTTTTGCTGAGATACTACAATGACTATGTGGCATTGCAAACAAATATTGTATCTTGGTCTCTTTCTCTCTGTGGGACATTGTACACATAGGAATATAAAGGAGGTGAGGATTCATGGAGGAAATCTCATTCTGACTATTCGAAAGATCTGCAATTTCACCCTTGTGTGTGTGCCAAGAACTGCAAACTCCTCACTCTCCGGGTGCTGCTGGGGAGTTTCTGTTTTTATTCTTAGCTCCTTTGGCTTCTCTTGTTCGCTCCCCCAAGTGTTTCGATGGACAAGAGAGAAGGGGGGGGCAGGGTCAGCACCTGGTTACCCAGAGTCGTAGCTAGACTACAGGCCCCTCAAAAAGGATGTATCTCTGAATCTGGTAAAGAGAGTTTTTAATATCCAATGACGTGATTTTATTTATTTTGTTCTACTCTGTAAACAGGCGTCCGAACCGTGCATGACTGTTCAATCACCAAAACGCGACACACGCTTATTGAGACATTCGAAAGCTGGGATCCCACACCCCAGCGTCCTCACCGTTAAAGAAGTCTGCATGCACGGCCTTTTCGTTGGCTGCCAAGTCCATCAGAAGGCCGGTGCTGCCTCCCGCCTACAGAGGAGGGAAACATTGTATCAGCGGTTTCAACGAGAGAACACACAGTAACACGCGCGCGCGGTGAGGTTATTATCGCTCGTGAATCCCCGCCCCGCGATGACTGATGGCTCACAATCCCCCCCATTCACAGCGCCACAGGAAGGGGGCACGAAAAGCCCTTCGATAATGCCAGGCACCGATTGCCTCGTGCCCACTGCACTAACGCACGGGCGCAATCACCGGACGTCAGGCTGGCTCGTAAATGCGCATTTACAAGCCCACCCCCTCCGACGTGAAAGGCAGAGGCCTCTGGCTCCTGCTCCGCCCCAGACGTCGGGCAACGTCCCCGCTCTTAAGCTTCAATGGGCCGTCGTGCCTTTCCGGGGTCACAAAACGCTTTCTCGCTCGCTGCCCCCATTTTACTGATGAGCAAAGTGAGGCTCGAGAGTCACCGGGGGAGGGGAGGGTGATGTCAGGGAGTCCAAGGTGCCCCCACCTTTGGCAATCAGCCGCCTCCCCCCCCCCCCCCGAAAGCCCAGGGTTTGAGGGAGGGGAAGCCCTCCGCCCCGCCTCTCGCCATGGCCCCGCCCCCTCCCTGCTCACGTGACCCACGCCCCCGCAGTCCCAGGCTAGGCCTCGGGCAGGCTCCCGCTCCTGCCATCACCTCGTCCAGGTCCACGTAGGGCCCGGCGCCCTCGGGGAACATCTCGTCCACAGCCGGCTTCATAATCCCGTCAGTCTGTCCTTCCGTCTCGGCCCAGCACGTCACGCTCGTCTAGTCCCTGCACGTTCCGCCCCGTGTGTGGTCGGCTGTGCGCCGACTTCCGGCTTCCGTCAGAGCACTTCCTGTGAACGCGCGCGCTTGCGCGGCATGTGTAGGCGGCGGAGGACCATCCTCTCTATGGTACCTCGGTTAGTTTCCAGGCTTCTTTTCGGCCCCTCCCCCCCGCTCTCTGGCCAGGGAGCCGACACGTCGAGGAAGACTGTGGTTTTTGTGTTACCTTCTGGGCCAAAACGATCTTTATATTAAAAATTATTATCGTTTAAATGGAAGCACCAAGAGGGCAGCTCCGTCCTTTGCATTCGAAGCCCGGGTGCCCCTGCCAGCCCCGCCAGCTCTGGGTCACTGGCCTCACGTCGATTTCACAAAAGGCCACTGGCCAGAGACATCCTGAGGCCACCCAGGACAGCAGAGCGGCCAGGAGACCCCGGCACCCCGGCGGCCTCGGGGCTGATCCCATTCTGTCTCCCCGAAGGGTGGAAAGAGGCGCCAGGCTAGACCCAGGAGGATGTTTCCGTCCCGGTGGGTAGGAGCCAGAACCAGCCAGTGAGGCAATGTACACGCTTTCATGAAAATGAAAAGGTAGATGGGAGCTAATGAAGTGACTCCGCTGGTTGGCTGGAGCAGTGTGGGCCAGTGGGTACGTGGAGTCAGCCACACCGAGTCACTTCGCTGACCTCTGCCTCAGTTTCCTTATCTGTAAAAGGAGCGGGCTAGACCAGCAGGCCTCTCAGGACCCTAAATATCTGACTCCATAATTCAAAAATGATTGTCTGTGGCTTCCCAGAAGGGAAACAGGACTAGAATTCAAACTCGGGTCCACCGGCTGGAAATCCAATTATTTTCCTATTTTGCCTCTTAAAATTCCTTTTACAATTAATTGTATCTACAGTGGTTATCATAGTGCCGGGCACATAGAAGGCACTTAAAACACTTGTTCAGTGGTGTCAGACTCTTCGTGACTCCATTTGGGGTTCTCTTGGCAAAGATACTGGAATGGTTTGCCATTTCTTTCTTCAGTTTATTTTACAGATGAGGAAACTAAGGCAAAGGTGAAGTGACTTGCCCAAGGTCACACAGGTAGTAAGAGCCAGGCGTGGCTTCTTAAATTCAGTTCAATTTAATAAACATTAAGTGCCTACTACGTGCCAGGCACTTTACTAAGCACTAGGGATACAAATAAGAAAAAGAAAGGCCGTCCCCTGCCCTCAAGGAGCTTACAGTCCAATGGGGGAAGACCACACACAGAAGGAAACTAGAAATGGGGGAGGGGGAGTTGGAGTCCAAACCAAGCAGAACTGCAGATGGAAAGTGAAGAGGGAGCTGGAGCGTCCAGATCCAGCCCTCCATAAAGGAGAGCTTTGGGAGGAATTTAGTGCTCCTTTCTTCTGCCGTCCAACAGAAGGGAGAGGAGACTGAGGGGGTTGGGAAGGTGTTGAGTATTCCAGGCTGACTTAATGGCACTGGAGGCTTAGGACTGAGGGCTGCTGAGCCCTTTTCAGGGCTGCCCATCCACCTTGGGTGTCCATCTGATTCACCCAGTTCTCTACCGGGGGCTCTGAGAAACTGTAGCATGCCCAGCAGCTCACCCTGGTAAAACCATCTTGGTAGATGGGCTAAACTATACTCAGGGTAACCGATCGGCCTCAAACCTGACTGTGAGTTAGGGGGATGTCCACTCCAAGCATGAGAAGACAGCTGAAGCAGGTGTTTAGAGCTTGGTCAGACATAGAAGATGCCAAGGTCATCTGCTGCATCCTGCGCCATCCCCAGTCTTCTTGACTTTTTTTTTTGAATTAATTTCTTTTGATTTATCAACAATCACTTTCATAAGCTTTTGAGTTTTAAATTTTTCTCCTCCTCCCTCCCCACCTCCCTCCCCAAGACAGCACGCAATCTGATACAGGCTATACATTTACATTCCTATTAAACATATTTTTGCATTAGTGATGTTGTAAGTAAGAATTAGAACTAATAGGAGGAAAAGGAAACAAAACACAACAGAAGAAAAAAAATAGCAAGTGACTTGTGCTTGACACCCCAGTAAGTCTCAAAGCTGGGGTTCAGGCTCAGGTGTCCTGCCTCCAGGGGTTGGGAACCTGTGGCCTCGAGGCAACATGTGGCCTTCTAGGTCCTTGGGTGTGGCCTTTTGACTGATTCTAAGTTTTACAGAACCAATGCTTTTATTAAGGGAATTTGTTCTTCATCCAAACCATTTTTTCAAGGTCAGCATTAATGCTGGGCAGCTAGGTGGCGCTATAGTTCACAGAGTTCCAGGCCTGGAGTCAGGAAGACTCATTTTCCTGAGTTCAAATGTGACCTAAGACACTAGCTGTGTGACCCTGGGCAAGTCACTTGACCCTGTTTGCCTCAGTTTCCTCATCTGTCAAATGAGCTGGAGAAAGAAATGGCAAACCACTCCAGGCTGTCTGCCAAGAAAACCCCAAATGGGGTCACGGAGAGTCAGAAAGGACTGAAACAGCGGAACAACATTGGTGCTACGGAAAGAGGCCACGAAACTCATTGGGGCCTAACGGAGCTCAGGCTCATCAATATAGAGGGGATTCAGAGGCCATGAAGTCCAATTGTGCTTTGAATGTATACATACGATTATATCTCATTATAAAGATGAGGAAACTGAGTCTGCGAGTTTAAACGACTCGCCTAAGGTTAGTTACAAGGGTCATTAGTTGCCAAGGGAGTCACTGACAGATGCAGGATTTGAATCCAGGTCTTTTGACCCCAAACCCACCCTGGGCTTTTCCCCGCTGTACCAAACTACCTTTCCAGGGCATTGGGGGTTGGGGGGAAGGGGAGGGCACAGCACTCAACCAGAGCAAAGGAATTTGAAAAGGGAGGGAAGGAGCACCAAAGACAAACCTCCCAGTTTTGCTTTTGCCCCAAGGAAGGCCAGGAATGAGCCCCTTCCCTTCCTGCTCCAGAGCCCCGTCTCTTCAGACACATTGTGCCTTTTCAAGTATCACCTAGCAAACGATTCCTTTGTAACCTGAGGTCACACAGAGGCACGTAGCCCACAGACTATATTGTTAGGCCATAGTAGCACTTCTGTGGGGGTTGGTCAGTCCTGTCTGATTCTTTGTGGCCCCATTTGGGGTTCTCTTGGCAGAGATACTGGAGCGGTTTGGCATTTCCTTCTCCAGCTCATTTGACAGATGAGGAAACTGAGGCAAACAGGGTGAAGTGACTCGTCCAGGGTCACACAGCTAGGATTGGAATCTGAGAAGATGTCTTACAGCAGACACGTGTTAAGATATGCACAGCCAAGTTGGCTGTAAAGCCGGTATTTGTGGCTACCATTTCAGTCTGCTCCAAATAAGGAGGTATGTTTTCTCACCTCCCTAACATCTTCTCTCCACACTTTCTAGTCTTCAATAAACAGATGTGAGCTCTCCAACACAATCACACTATCTTGGCTGCTTAGAAAAATAAATATAAGAAAGGAGTCCAACAGTTACCTTCTCCCTCTTGGACTGCCTTGGCTACTACTAATTAAGAAAAAAAATCTGAGGTATTGTGGGGAATGTATTTTACATTGCTGTCATTTCAACCCCACCCCAACACACTGTAGAACTGTTTCTTTTAATCTCGGCAAAACAAAGCAGCCCTTCAGCCAAGCACATGCACGTTCATCAGCTCTGCCACGTTGCTAATACTGTGCTCACTCCCTCTTCGTTTTCTTAGGAAAGGTAATTTGAATATATATATATATATGTATATATAAATATACACACATATAGAGAGACATATAAAAAATTAGAAAGACATTGCTTCTGGGTAAACAATAATTTTATTAATTATGGCTAGTGAATCATTAATAAAAGGGTCATTCGACTGTCTTTCCTAAACCAAAGACCCCTCATGGAACCCACTCATTGCTTATATGCCCTTAGAAGAGTGGGTATTCCTAAGGGTGGAAATCAACTCTGGTTGGTTAACAAGTTAACGAGAGAATGAATATTATAATGAGAGGTGGGCTTATTTTAATGAGGGTCTGGGAGACATGACTGTGATCAGTCAGTCTTGGTCAAAGAGACTTATCCATACCCATACCACCGGGATCTAGGGTAATCTGGACAAAAAGGGGAATTCACTTCTATTCAGAGCTCTCTGACTAAAACACAACCGGCCAGAATCCACTCATTCCCCTAAAATAGAATTTCTTTACCTTTTGGTCAGATTTAAGTTTTCCATATCATTATTAGCCCTGTACTTCAAAGGCTGCCTGAATAACCTACAGGGATTGATTTCTGAATGATGAAATAGAAAAAAGGAAAAACTTTAGACCTCATTCAATAATTGATGATTAATTTAAGAGAGAATCATTTTTCTCTTTATATATATATACATATACCCGTATGTGTATATAAAGATATGTATGTGTGTATATGTGTATACGCACATATAAATAGATAGATAGCTAGATTGTTAATGGAAATGGTCCTCTCTCATTCCTTTCCATGTATACATTTCTTTTGATGAGGTTAAGCTTTAGTTGTTGAGTGACCAAGTTTGACTCTGAAACAACTAAGATATTGCACCTTTGTTTGTATTCTCCTAAGGGTTATTGGCATTGTTTATCTCAGAAGTTACCTTTCATCAGATTCCACAGCCTGACCTGAATGAGCTTTTGTGGATGGTATGAAGAGGCTACTCTCTTTAGAAGGGCAGAAGTACAAGACAGAGAAACGTCACTTACTTGAAACACCAATATGAATTTTTCATTCACCAAAGAACCAAATTGTAGTTCACCAGTCTTACTTGGAACAAAATACATGCATACGTACACAGACACACACACACACACACATACTATAATACACACAACACGTGTGTATAACACATAACACATGCATACAATACCATGCAACACACATAAAACTCAACATATAAATAGGCACACCCACATATATACATGCATCTATGAATACATACACATGTAACACCTAGATTCATAAAATGCAACACACAAACACACACATACATATACATGTACAGGCATAGATGTATTCAAGTATACAATGCAA